CGCAGTCACATGGCAGCATGTTGCTGTGACTGTGAGGATTTGGATGAGGCTTGTGACAGGTGAGCACTTTGGATTCATAGATTTCTACATGTTTATGGGTAAATGATGAGTATGACTTAAAATTGTATTTTCCAGATGGATGAAGAAGAAGCCTCGAAGTCCGGACTCTCTGTCCCAGGTTATAGCCACGATCAATGATCGTCTGCGGGTGCCCTGGATATCTGGAGCCCGACAAGTTGATATATCAGTGATCCCTCCTCTTATTCTGCTTCCTGTTTTTTTGCACATTGCAGCTTTGCACTACCTGCTGGGTATTTTAGTGCTAACAGCAGTGCCCATCATGGTCCTTTTGTACTACTATTTCACTCACCGAAAGAAAGGACGCACGTTATTCTTCCTCAGCCTCGCACTCTTCTCCCTCTTCTACATGTTCTACCTCTTCATCACCGAAATCGTTCCTCGAGGTGATGTGACTCACCTTCAGTTGGCCGCTGTGACGGCGGGTGTTGCTCTTACGGTCATTTCTCTCATAATCACTAAGAGAGGGCCGGGCTACGTCAGGCCTCGTCCAACTGACACTCATAGTACAGTGACCTATAACAAACCTCCACCTGACGTAGATGCCGCCTATCTAAATAGAGCACAGCACCAGGTGGTGATAGCCAATCACGAACAAACTGGTGAATCTGGGACAGCACAGCAGGGCGTTCAGAGGAGGAACTGGTGTGCTGTATGCAAAGTGGTGCGGCCCCCGAGAGCGGGACACTGCAGGATCTGTGGAGTCTGCATCCTGCGTCTGGACCACCACTGTGTCTGGTGGGTTCATTTAAAAAGCACTGCTTATTATTCAAGAGGGTCTCAGTCATTGTTATGTGGGTGAATTTTACCAGTCAGTAACATGTTTGGGTCATATTTCACGCCCAAATTTTTTGTATTGTGAAATATTTTTATGAAAATTAAACAAATGTTCTCTTTGATTTCACATTACTGTGACAAAAATCTAATTGTGCAAAAACATGTAAAATAAGATATATTATCTAAAGTATTCAGACATGTATTTGTACTTGTATTTGTGCTTAATTTATGTTGATTGTAATATATAATATATATATATATATATATATATATTATATAGTAGCTATATTACCATCAGCATAAAGGCAAATACAAAGACATTATGTCTACAAATAATATGTTAATATATCTTATTATATCAAAAATACTTTAATAATATATTTTATTTTTCATGTTTTTGCGAAGATAGATATTTTATAAGCACATTCCTACATTAGTGAGAATCCCGCAAGAATCATCAAGTATAACAAATTTAATTGACAGATTTAAATGTAAAATATATAAATGTAAATGTAATGAGAATTTTGGAGAATGAATTGTCATGAAATTAAAATTAATGATGCTGATACTTTAATGATTATTTTACATATAAATATATATATATACTTTAAATATATGTAATTTTTTATATTTTTGTAAAATTTATTTTATATATAGCTACAGTACTGAAAATCCATTGATTCATCAAGAATAACGTAAATAATGAAAATGTAATGAGATCATGTAATGATTTTGGGAGAATATTTGAAATAAAAGGCAAAAAATTTTCATGCAATATTTGTCATGTCCATCAAATACACTGAATTTTTTATGTAAATGCACATATTAGCATTACCAGCATTTTGAGAAATGCTTTAGTTATTGACCCATCTCTAGTGTCTAATATGTATATACTGTATACTGCATACATAGTGAAGTCTTATCTGCATGCTAATTTTACTTTCCTTGAAACTAAATTTTCAATCATCAAAATTCATGGAATCGAAGAGTGCACAATGACCAGAATTCCTGTATCAGTTGGGTTAAGTTAGCTCATGTGCTATGCGCTGAATGTATGCTCATTGTTGTGTTTGAAATAATCCAAGTAATCTCAGAACATTCTAGTTGTCCATTTATTATATATTATGGATTAATATGCATTAATCAGACTTTGTGGTGTTCAGCACAGCTGTAAAATGTCTTATTCTTCATGTAAACATATGTGTAATGGAGACAGCGAGGTGATCTCACCCTCGGCATTCTCCTCACTCTGTGTAACTGATATGTGAAAATGATCTCCAGGTCTCAGTTTGGTGTCTCGTTTGTCATTTTGGTTTGTGTTAGGATCAACAGCTGTGTGGGGCAGGCCAATCACCGCGACTTCCTTCTGACACTTGTTTTCTTTCTGCTGACGTCGCTGTACGGGATCAGTTTGGTTCTTCGAAGCGTGTGTCCCGACCAGAATGTAATGACTGCACTGTTCTATTGTCCTGACGTCTACAACCAGTTCAGGTGTGGATCCAACTACACAAACTCACATAAATGCTTTCTCTTGCATTTAATTCAGTGGGTTCTGACCCTTTTTTCCCCACCTCTGTTCCTTCCAGTTCATTAGTTATTCATGGGAAAAAGTCACTTTGCTGCTTCAAATGCACTACATTTGCACCATATCAGTACTCAGCAGAATCGTCGAGGGTTAAGGGAACAAACTGAACGAAAATTTGTCTTTCCCAAACAACATTTGCCATTCTTCACACAAACACGCAGTCCTGTCCAAAGCTTAAGACTTTGGTTAAAGGAATGAATGAACATTTGCTGAAAATGTACTAATTTAAGATGTAGATGGGTTTGTTTCTTTATCAAAACAGATTTGGAGAAATTTAGCATTACATCACTTGCTCACCAATGGATCCTCTGCAGTGAATGGGTGCCGTCAGAATGAGAGTTTATACAGCTGATAAAAACATTGCAATAATCCACAAGTAATTCACACGACTACAGTCCATCAGTCAACATCTTGTGAAGTGAAAAGCTGTCTTTGTACTAAACACATTTTTGGGCGAACTATTTCTTTAAGACAGATGTTGTGGGCTGTAGGGTTATTTTAGTATTATTTATATATTATTATTAATAATTTGATTTGGCATATATATATATATATATATATATATATATTAGTGCTGTCAAGCGATTAATCGCATCCAAAATAAAAGTTTTTGTTTACATAATATATGTATGTGTACTGTGTATATTTATTATGTATATATAAAAACCCTGAAATGAATAATGTAATAACATTCGACTATTTCTGTTAGGGGTGCAACGGTTCTCGGTAAAAAATCGAACCGTACCGTTCTCCACACACGGTTCGGCATGCACTAGGACCGCGGTTCAATTTAAATCTGACAATGCATCTGTAATATGGATTGTTAAGAGTTCGGCTAATGCATGTTTCTGTCGATGGATACAAATTCTGGCTTCCCAATACATTACAACAAGAGCGATGAGAGAGAGAAAAAAACAATACGTGGACAAACCAGTCACTCTTTAATCAATGCGAGTGCTTTATGCTGGAATAACTGTAATTTATGCCTAAGTTTTTCATGTTTATTTTTATTTCAGCTTTATCTCAATTAACAAAAAAATTAGTTTTAGTTATATTTAACAACACCAACATTGGTTTTAACTTGGTTTAGATTTCTTTAACATGGAAAAAAATGTTTGAAAAAAAGTTTGGTTTCTCAGGTTCACACAGCTTCAGTATAACTGTTCATAACAGCATTTTTATTGTTTAGAGTATTAATAATATAACATGTTAATATTTAATGACCTATTTTTCTCTGTTTTTCTCTCTCTTCATCAGCTCTGCTCTCTGTTTCACCTGTGCCTGGTACGGCAGTATCGTGACGGGAGGTTTGCTGCACCTGCTGCTCTCACAGCTTATCAATGTCGGCTTCAACGTGACCGAACGAGAGGCACGTCTGGCTCGGAGAGAGAAAACCGCTCGCAGCCTTCTCTGGGGTCTGATCATCGACACCGGCGTTTACTCACGAGGCTTCCGTACTAACTGGATTGAATTCATGACCATGAGCATGGCTTCAGAGCCATCAACCCATAAACCATCAGATCTGGTGTAGAAATTCAGCTGTCAGTCTCTGCTGATGCAAAAACTATTGAATTGGTCTTTAAAGTGAATTATCGCTCATATTTAATACAGTGAAGTATAATGTTGTGCTACTTAATGTCTTCAACATCCATTCCAGAGTCAGTTTTATGGCTCTAAACATTGTCTTCAAGGTCTCATCAAGAGTCAGTTGAATTGTGTGGATCACTAGATGGCAGTATTGTAGTATGTTACATTTCTACCAGTGTATTTCAACATCAAGTACACCATTCTTCAGGTGAGGTTAGTGTTTACACAACTTATATTAACTAATTATATTATATTATATTATATTATAAAGGTCTCACTAAATACTAAATACTTGAATGCTTCTAAATAATAATAATAATAATAGTAACTTGCATTTACAATAAAAAACAATATATATATATGAAGAGTTCAGATGTGCCATCTGAAATTTTCTTCTAAAATTAGCATTTTTCTCAGACTCCTATATTTATGTTCAGTTATTTCACTTTAATGGCAATGAAAAAAACCTATTCATTGCCATTAAAGTGAAATTACTAAACCTACACATGAGAGCCTGAGAAAAATGCTTCAGATGGCACTTACAGGCTTTTGCATCTGAACTCTTCATGTATAAATCACGCATTTCTGGTTTACATTCACTGCTAGCTAGACCAATTTTGGATTTAATGTCTAATATTTGTTCTCTCAACTTCAAAGTGTGTCTTATATGTGAACGCACATTCAGTATCAAGCCTTATTTAGTGCCTTTTTGGGACATCGGAAGTGATGCAAAATGCTCCAGACAGCACACCGCTTTAAAACTGTCATCTCAGTATGAATGTTTTATGTTGAGCATCATATTTGTTATTCGAGGTCCATGTGTGTATTTTCTTTTCATTTGCTTCAGCTGGGGACAAATCTGTGGTGCGTACCATCCGGCTACATTTTGACGTGCATGAATTATCGCAGCGTTTTTGAATCAAAATTGTTTTCCTTTCATTAAATGCCTTCTAAAGAAACAGCTAAGAAGCACTTCAGAATCGGGAAGTTTATTTGTCTCATGTGAGACTGCTTTATAAATGTAATGCATTTCATTCTACAAGTTGTTCAATTAAACTGTAGCATGGAAAAATAAACTAGCGTAAAATGATTAAACACGGAGGCTCATCAAGCTGCAGATGTTTTCAATGTCATTTGATGTCATGTAAAGCCTGTGTGTGTGTGCCGTTAAAGAGGATTTACGGAGCGCCACAGGGAGTCCATAGGGGAGGAGCGGAAGTCGGGCAAAATCTCCGCCACTTTACGTCTGAGCTGCTCTCTGCATGCCTCTCTTTCCTTCTCTTCTCGCAAGACAACAGGAAGTCGCCTCCAGCCAGCAAAACACTTCTTGACAGCTCTCCTACAAAGCCCAGAGAACCAAAGTCAGCAAGCATATTTTCATTTTTCTAAATACTGAAAATTCTTAATAACCCATACATTTCTTCTACTATCTTTAGTATGTTTAGAAAGGATGTTTTGGCCTTATGGTGCAGTAAAACTGTCACACTAAAGGATGTCTTGACCTGCTGTTGTGCTGCTCTGCCCGTTGCTCATTGTCCCAGGCTGTGATTCGCTCCTCTGTAGCGTGATCCAGCAGGGCCATGAACACCCTCCTCTGGGTCCGTGTCCTGTGAAACCGCTCGGCTCGTGCTTCCAGTATAAAGCGCAGATCTTTTAGCTGGTAAGTATTGAAATCAAACATAGACAATTGCTCATAATTAAGGATATGAGTTTATTAATATCATTAACCCAAAATATAAATTAATTAATTGAGTAATAAATTGTCGGAAAGCTCTTTTTGTTTAGACCTGTAAGAAACCACAGAGCAAGGCCCTGGTGGGAAAGCACAACTGATAAGTTCCTTAGAAAATGTAAAGATAATAAATGATAAATTTTTATTTGAATGTATGAATTATATGAATGTAATAACTTATTTGAAATTATTTATTATAAGTAATACAATTATTGTCCATAGATTGTCTATAAGTAAATATGTATATTTATATTAAATTGATAAGATGGTTTTAAACAAATAAATATTAATTCATATTTATTTCGTGTTTATAATTAAAATAATTATAAAAAATTAAGATACTGAATGAATAATAAATATTTATTGAATTGATTATAATTTAATGTAATTATTTATTAGTAAAGTTAATTTACTAATAAACTTATTAATGGCCGATAAACCAAATTTTATTATAGAACTTAAAATGTATAATTTTTAATTAAATTTATTATAAACAAATTAACAATACAATATGATACATGTCTATGAATAGACATGCCTCTATTTTTACTAATACTAAATTGATAGGACCTTTAAATAAATATTAAGATTAAAGTATCAAATATTAAAATAATGACTAAACAATACATCATTTAATTTGTTATAAATTAATTAATTAATTTATAAGTCAATAAGACACTTTTTGGCTATATAAATGTAATTTTTTTAATTTAATTTATTTATAAAAAAATTATAAACAATACAATTATTTATTTGTTTATAAATTAATAATGTTGAAATATCTATAAATAAAAAGTCTATAAATAATTTTGTCTAAAAATGTCTACAAATAAATGTCTATATAATTATATTACATTTATAAGACTTTTTAAATAAATAAATCTTAATATTAAAATTATTATATTAAAATGATGAATAAATAATACATATTTATTGAATTTATTACAAATGAATGAAATGATTTATTTAAAAATGTATTTAAAAGTCAACCAGAAGAACTCAAAATCCGAAGCTTTTTTAATCATTCACAGTTTCCTATCAGACTATGTGTGTGTGTGGCGTTTTACCCTTTTCCAGCTACACACAGCCCTCTGAAGTAAGATCCGGTGATACAGCTGGTTGGCGCTAGCCTCTCTCTCTGCATGGGCCTCATCCACAGACTGAAGCCAGGAGCAGAAGCAGCGTCTCTGCAGAGCCACTGTGTAATGATCCACCGCGCTCTGGTGGAGACCGAAAAGGCAAAAGCACCCGAACATAAATAACGGTCTGCTTTAATTAAGACCGTCATCAACTCATACATTCCCATGGCTTTTATGGATTGCAAACTTTCCCCCGGTGACTTCCTGTTGGTACTGTAGAGATATTATAGACGCACATGCTAGTTTTGGAACTAATTGAACCTTGCGGTATCTGCTTTCATGGATGTGGATCAATAGCTAAACAACAATGCATATTCTGAATTCAAAGCCATTGTGTTTCTCTCTTTGTGTCCTTGTCAATCTCTCCCTCTCAGTCACTCCATCTCCCTCCTGAATCTCAGATATCCGCTCTCTGTTAATTTATTTCGAAAACAGGTGGTTAGCCAGGTGGAAACGCAACCGTATACTGTAAACATCATTAAAATTTGGGGAATGGACCAAGAGTTAATGCAAGGCAACAGCTGGTCTTCCTGTCTGTGTGTGAGCTGCCCATAACTCTTTGGATGAATAATTGAGTGTGTGAGTGTTTGTCTGGAAAGCAGGCGAACGGCCTGCATTGTCACTGTAGACCATGTGTGTATGTGTGTGTGTTTGCAGTAGCACCGCTGACCTGTGTGTTGACATGGCTTTGCTCCAGCAGGCTTTTCCATGGTGCCAGGCCTCGGCGCAGTAACAGGGTTCTGAGGTAGTGCTGGGCCGCCCGCTTTGACAGTTCCTGTTCCCGTTCTGCTCTCTTCTGTTTCTCAAGTTCCCTCTAAGTTCACATTATAAACATGATGAATACATTAACATTTTTGCATTTTCTAGATACACTTGCTAATGCAAAACAGTGCTACATTGTTGCCTAGTTATTCTGAGTGGTTTTTAGCATACTGCTAATCAGTTCCTTCCTAGGGCATTCTGGGTGGTTACATACTGGTATCCTGCAATGTAAATAGTCGTAACTTACAATTGTTAACTTAAAGAGCTATTTCTTATGGAAGCCTGTTTCCGACACAGAATAAAAAAAAGGTAATTGCAACTTTTTATCTCACAATTCAGAGTTTGTTTCTCGCAATTTTGACTTTTTTTTCTCAGAACTGTCAGAAACAAAGTCCGAATTGAGATAAACACAGAACTGCAAGATATAAACTAGCAAGTCTGAATTTTCTCGCAATTCTGATTTTATATCTCGCAATTCTGTTCTTTGTTTCTGTCATGGAATGAAAAAAGGTAATTGCGACTTTTTCTCACATATCAGACTTTTCTTCTTCAGAATTGCAAATTCATATCTCACAAAAGCCTGAATTGTGAGATATAAACTCAGAATCGCAAGAATAAAGTGAGAATTTTGAGATAAAAAGTCACAATTACCTTTTTTATTTTTCTATTCTGTAGTGAAAATGGGCTTCCATCATTTCTGCCAGATTTAACTCATAAAAATGTGTCTTGTTGGTATAAATGAATGTATTTAGATTGATTCAGTGATGTTTTAAACTTGAATAAAACCAGTTAATTTACCATTTTCTCCCTTGATAGGCTTGGGATTATTTCCACCTGTTTCATCATTTAAAAAAGCTGAAAATCATCATAACAGCTACTTGAAAAAGTAAACACACCCCTCTCCTCAACCATTTGCACTATCACTCACATCCGTAGCATAAACAATTAAAATTAACAATCCAATTACATAAAACCCATGATAAAGTGTTTGACCACATACCTTTCTTTGCTGCCTCTTCTCTTCCTTCTTCCTCTCTATCTCCTTTAGTTTCTCCTCTTCCTCAGCTCTGAGTTTTTCCTCCTCAGCTGCCTTCATTTGAGCCTACAGAACAAAACACGGAGAGGTTTGTTTCATCACATTCACACATTTCTATGCTTGAAGAGAGGCAAGTCTTACCAGTTTCTCCTCCTGCTTTTGTCTCCTCCGCTCCTCTATCTCTCTCCTGCGCTCGGCACGCTGCCGTGCTCGTTCCTCCATGGCTGAATGAAACATAAAAAAGGAAAGTGACAGACAGAGTTGGCTGGGGACCAAGACATCAGTAAAGGGCCAGATTAAAGGGTCACTGTGAAGTTCTGCAGCATGTTCTTCTGATCTTATGGTTTTTTGGTACAAGTTTGTTTGTGTTGCTTGCATTTGCATTCAAGGCGGCGTCCCGTATCACACCAACTGATTTAACTGAAAATCTCATTGTCATTTGTAGTGTTTCACCAGTTAAGTCATGTATTGCAACCAGAATCAGAAATTCACTATGGCTTGAGGCAAAAATGGCACCAAAAGTGACAAAAATGTTTTAGAATCAAGATATTTCAAATATGGGGAAAATACCCATGTATGTAGCACATTCCCGTTTTTTCTCTCTGTTTTTTTATTATTTCATATTTTTTCATAAGGTAGTTATCAGCTTACTATTTATATATATATATGTATATGTATATATATATATATATATATATATATGACTTATTTAATATAGTTTTTTTAGTGGGGGAAAATGAATCAGTTCTGAAAAGCTGACCAATGTGAAGTTCAACAGCATGAGAAAAATATATATAAAAAAATATATTTAATAAAAGTAGACTTTTTAATAAAAGTATACTTCTTAATAAAGTTACGTCTTAATAAAAGTAGTGTTTTTAAGGGGAAAAAAAATCATTTTTGAAAATACAAACTCAACAATGGTGAAGCTCACCTGAATGAGAAAATTACTAAATTAAATGAGAAAAATATCTTCAACATTTTTTTTGCTTTTCTGGTACATTTAACCACTTTGTTATAAATGTAAAAATAGCATATATGTAGTGTTTTTATACGTGGAAAAATTGTCAGTTCTGAAAATTCAAGGCTCACCAATGTGAAGCTCAACTGAAACAAAATTACTAAATTACATGTTAAAAAATATTTTTAATAAAAATTGACTTTTCTTATTAATTTATATTAATTTATTATTAATTGTATCAGTAATTTAAGTGTAGGAGGTGGGAAAACACTTGATTACACAATCAGCATGTACGACTGGCTGTGTTTGCGAAACTTGACCTTGCATTTGCTGAGGAAACATTTGGATCAGATCTGGGGTGCATTTCCCAAAAGCAACTATGGTCGCAAGTTCCATCGTTACCAATAGATTTCAATGGAACGTTAGTTAGCTAACGATGCTTTTGGGAAACGCACCCCTGAGCAGGACATTGGCTTGTCAGTTTTTCATTGTGAGAAAAATCTAATTGGTTATTGCCAAGGCCAGGACAGTCTGCCTCACAGATTGAATGATAATATCAAAAATAGTGGATGTCATTGATGAATCTACAGGGCATTTAACTCGGCAGGATGTTGACTCATGGGGGCTGTTAACAACCACCCGCTGAGAGACGCGACCATGTGCAAAACCTCCCTCAGATACTGCTGATTATTGAACAAATATGACTATGTATTCAATAACAATGAAGCTCAAGGTTTTAACACATGGAAGAGCCATTGTGAGGTTTTGGTATCGTTCTTGGTTTGCATAGAGATGCACAAGTGGTTTATGAGTGTATAGCGATTGTGTGCATCTGTATTCAATGCATTCAGTATCAGAGAGGATTTAAAACTAGAGCATAGCCATTAAATTAATTTTCCATGCTTGGAACCACCATAGTGACAGTTTTCCAACTGCTGGATTGTGTATGTGTATGACTGACCTTGTACTGCAGGATGGGGAAGGGCTGCTGTTTGGTTGGTGTGGCTGCTGGCGTTTTCCCCCGAGGCACTCTTTGTTCTGGGATTGTGAGGAGAATGAATATCTTTGTGAAATAGTGACTAATAACAGACATTGTGTCTCCCACGCGAGCACACGGATAGAACAGCTGTGGGAAGTGACCCTTTGGTAAAATCTAGAGGGATTACATTGAGTACATGAAACAAGCCAGTATTACATTCTGATCCACTCTGGTGCCTAAGGTGATTTCTTATATTTATTCTGTTCTCTTCATGTGAAGAAACTGTAAAGATTTGTTTCACAAAAAATGTCAAGAAACATCAGGGTCATATTTCACCCCATATTTGAAAGAAAAAAAGAAAATGATACCTACTTTAATATTTTTTTGCAACTTGTGCACATTTAAATAGTTAAATAGCAGCCTACTGTAATGCACAAAAATCTCATTCTCATCAAAGTAATGAATAAAAATAAATACTATGCAATAAAAATAATAATACTACATTTTGTATATAACACACTACTTATCAAAAGTCTGGGGTTTTTTAATGTTTCTGAAAAATGTCTCTTATGTTAACCAAAGCTGCATTTATCTGATCAAAAATAAAGTGAAAACAGACAGTAATATTGTGAAATATTATTATAACTGAAAATATCTGTTTTCTAATTATACTTAACATGATCCTTCAGAAATCATTATAATTTTATGATTTGGTAAAGAGACATTTCTTATTATTATCAATGTTGAAAATGGCTGTAGTGCTTAATATTTTTGTGGAAAATGTGATACATTTTCATGATTCTTTGATGAACAGAAAGTTCACAAGAACAGCATTTAATGATCTATATATTAAATAGATTTTTATAAACAAACATCTTTACTGTCACTTTTGATCAATTTAACTTCTTACTGTAATATTAATATATTGTATATTAGTTTTTATATGAATATATTTGAGTTATATATACATTTTAACATTTGTAAAACTGTAAATGCACATCATAGTACTATTTATTTGACTAAATTTATGCTGATTTTAATCTTTTTTTTTCTGTTAATTTATTATTTAATCAATGAAAAATATTTAAAAACATTTTGTGATTTTCATTACTGTATTACACTAATGAGAAAGAATTTGGTGTATGGGGGTCTTTTTGAAGTATGAATTTGGTGTATGGATTGCATACATGCAAAATAAAAATATACTTTTGATTTTGGGATGAAATATATTCCAGACATATGCCTCACACATGGGGGTACCTTGACAGGGTACCTGGATAGTACCTTGAGGGTTTTTCTGTAATTCCTTTTGCTGTCTCTGTGCTGGGTTTAGGTGGACAGCATGTATTTGTAGCTCCAGGAGGAGCTGTTGCTAACAGTGCTGTTTTCTCTGCCTCATGTCTCAGTTCCAGAATGTTCTGTCTCTCTTGCAGATGCCGAATCTGCTCCTGTTGCTCTTTCAGAAGACGCCTCTGCTCAGCTACGGTTTGCTGCAGGGCCGCATGGCGGTGTTTGATCTGTCCACCGCGAAGCTCCGCATTTCCGCTTCGGGAGGTCTGCTGCTGTTGCCCCTGACGGGCCTGTTGTAGCTCGGCCGATGAGAGAGCGGCATGACGACGCATCACCTGCCAGGCCTGAGTGGGCGGGGCCTCTGAACGGCCAGTCTTGATAGTGGCTTGTGCAGTTGGTAAACTGATTTCTGGAGCTGCTGCCACATCCTGATCCTGAAATGAAGAAAGTTTGTGGAATAGTTTAATCAGAATAAAAAATATTACAGTATACGTCCTTACCTGATGGCTGACGTTTTCTGTAGGACTGAGTGTTTCAGGTGTATTAGTAACTGGTGGAGATTTTTCTGCCCCTAGTTTCCTAGAAGCTGCCGCATTGATCAAAGCAGCCATTTTCCGCCGAGTTTCTTCTTGTTGTTGGAGAAGCTCCTTGCGATGCCGTTCTACTTGACACCACACACGCCAATCACTGAGGCAACGCCTCAAAAGCCTCCTGCGGTAACTCTCCACTGCCTGCTGACAGCGCCTGTGGGAAAGACAGATATGACTTAAAACCAGTCTGACTGCCAAGATGAATTAAAGCCTTAAATTAACCTTTAATTAAGCAATTAACATGCTCTTTTAGTCTTATCGTTTAGAGCTTTGCTTTTCTTTCAAATGTTTATCAGGCTGTTTAAGCCCTATGTTGACAGTGACAAGTTTTTCTAAATTGAGCTCTCTTGCCTGTGCTCCAGTCTTAGCTCCTCTTCAGTCCTTTCAGCCTCTTTCTCCTCTCTTCTGGCCCAGACGAGAGCCCCCCATGCCCGCCACGCTTTCAGCTGCCTCCTCCAATCACACAGCGCCGCTGCCTTCCCCATGCGCACCCTTCTTTCCAATATCACTGAGTACCATGCCGTAAAATGCCTGTGCATGCACTAAAACATATATGCATTGCAACCATTTAGAAAAAACATAATGTATTGCATACAATATAATTAAACCATAATGTCTTCTAACCAGCAAACTGAGAAGGTGAACTTTGCACTTTCCACTTCTACTTCACATGATCCTTCAGAAACAATTCTAATATGCCGCTTTGGTAAGGCAACATTTCTTTTTTTATTATTATCAATGTTGAAAACTGTTGTGGTTCTTAGTATTTTTGTGGAAAACGTGACATTTTTCAAGATTTTTTGATGGACAGAGTTCAAAAGAACAGCATTTATTAATCTGTTTATTAAACAGATTTTTATTACATGTTTTGTAACATTTTAAATGTCTTTACTGTCACTTCTGATCCATTGAATGCATCCTTGCTGAATAAGTGTGTCATTTCTTACTGTAATATTAACATTGTATTTTTATATATAAATATATTTAAAATATATATAAATTATAACATTAGTAAATTATATCTGTGAGTGTATATCACAGTAGTATTAATTTTACTGCATTTAATTTATTTAATAAATTAATAAAAAAAATTTATTATAGTTTTTTATTTAATTTATATATGCATACAATATAATCAAACTGTAATGTCTTCTAACCTGCAAATTGAGAAGGTGAACTTTGGCTTCCAGCTTCTTCAGCTTAAGTTGAAGGTCTTTGTTCTGTTTCTTCTGTGTGGAATTATGATGTTTTGGAATGAGAGAGTTTTCAGTGGCCCTTTGTTTCTGAAGCCTTTCCCTCTCCCTGTTCAAGATGAAAAAAAAAATTAATAATGGTCACGCAATCATCTCTTCAAAAATATGAATGCCATTTAAATGAGAAAATTATATAATTGCCCTAAAAATTATCTGGACACTTAAACCACAATTAAATATGTATTAATGTGACTGCATTAAATAAGAAAATATCAAACCAAGTGACATTTATAAAAAATAAAAAAAAACGGACAAATGCGCACTTCAAGGAAAAACATTTAGCAAAAATATGGGCCTCAACCACTGAGAAATGTGGAAATTTATTCTCAATAAATGTATGACCAGATTCTTCTAACTAGGCTACTTTTCACCAATGGTCTTGTCCTAAAACAGCAAAAGAGGAAAACAAAGTTAAATACTCATGCATATATTATAGAACAACTGCAGTGGATATAGTGGGATGTTTGTGTCCCAAAGCCCCATGGTCCTTTGATCAGGCTTGTCTATGAACACTCACAAGGTGATTTTTAGTTAATGTTCCCCTAACTGACTTCATACATTAACTAAAAATCACCTTGTGAGCGGTAAAGATGCCAAGTGAAGTTTAGAAAAAAGGTTTAGCATCATTTGTTTGCTTTTATTTTGACATTCATACATTTTTAATTGTGGCTAGAGTGCCCAAATACTTTTGTGGTTGTTGTACATATTTCGTGCAAGCTGCTCCACACTCCTCTTCTCCTCCATCTCTCTGCGTAGGCGAATCATCTCCTGCTGGATCAGTTCTTCTTGTCTGCGTGCCTCCTGCCGCTTCTTTCGCTGCTTCTCCTTTTCCAGTTGCCATGCCTCCTCTCGCGCCTCCCTTAGCGCTTCCTTTTCTTTTTGCAGTTTGTCACGTTCAGTGTCTCTGCGCATGCGGTTCTCCTTTACCTGCTTGTGACGCACCTCCATGGTAATACTAGGGTCCCTCCATCTCTTCTTATTCTGATTAGAGTCTACTTTAAGGTCCTCCACTATCCCCATGTCCAAAACCTCGGTTTCCATCAGGTCCTGGAGGAAATTGTGCACTACAGAGTTCTCCTCTTCCTGTGCTAGGTGAAAGTACATGTCTAATAAAAAAAGACAAACTCTGGATTAGATCAGTTTTGTTAATGTTAACTAAAACAAATCGAAAAGTAATAAATTATTATTAACTATTAAAAATGTTTTTGGTAACTGAAATAAAGCTTAAATAAAATAAAATATAAATATTAGAAAAAAAAAATTTCAAATGTTCCTTTGTTTCATTTGTACCATCAAAGTTATTATAGCTGGATTGTGTGGTTTTAACAAGTTGTTTGGATTCTTCCATCTCCTCTTCCTCCTCGTCATCGCCCATTTCAAGCTCCAGACGTAACTTCTGGTTCATCCATTCACTTAGAATGGACTGAGCTGTGGAATACAAGTGGAACTGTGGAATACTGATTACAAAAACCTGCACATACATTAAGTGCTGAATATTAATTTGTTAAAGATTACCTTCACTGTACGCATCATTATGATCCTGTAGCTGCTCTACAGTCTGCAGCGCCATACTGTTTTTACCACCACATGGTTTCTTGATGGAAAACACCTCAGCTACAGCAAACTCTGAAGCCTTCTCCACCCTCTGAGAAGCATGAAACAGAAATAAAATAATATACATAAACACAGACCATGCATCCCTTGTAAAAAAAAACACATTTCAAACACTTTTGGAATGTTAACAGCAAATAATAAATAAAATATTATGGAATGCACTTTTAAAAAATGTACTTGTGTGTTAAGAAACAGTCAAGCAAGTGTACTATATTTAAGTACACTTAAGTGATTATTATATTATTTGCAAGTACGCTACAAGTGCACATTCAATACAATTAAGCGCACTTCTTATTCACAAGCAATTTCATACATATGCATTAATTTTCTGCATGACATGAATTCAAATTATTGAAATGTACTTACCTTCACCCACTGCTTTATGTCATTCTCATTCAGCTGCACCTGCAATATGAGATATGAATTCAGCTCTGCTCATTGTTTCAATTCAAAGTAGACTGAGACTTTAAAATGTATTACCAGCTTCTCTACAGTTATGAGCTGATCATTGGGTTAAACCAAGCGTCTTCCAACCTTGTTAATGCCTGAACTTGACATAAACTGATATGAATATTTAGTCACACTGGCCTCACACATCTAATCCCTGGATAAATATCCAGTGTTACCTTAAACTGGCTCTTTTGTAGATACACCTGAAGGGGTTTTCTTTGCACATTTGAGCTAAATCCTTCTGCTGAGCCACAAATCTATTAATTACTAATAACCAATGTGCATGACCAAAGATAACCTGAGTGTGACATTTATTTAGATTCGTTACCTCTGGCTGAATATTGTAAAAAAAAAAAAAAGGGAAACGAAGAAAAACACTATTCCGAAGCTAAATCTTTGAAGAACCGAGTGAGAAAAGAGAAAGCAGGTTTTACTTGCCTTATTATTACTGCCTGGCGTTTTAGTCTTTGTCGTTTTCCAACGAAAAATATCCGGTCTGTGCGTGGGATATGCCATGGTCGCTCGTAGGCTACATGGGCATGCATTTGGATTGCAAGCTAATATAATATATTTTTACATGTTCGCAAAGTGTATGTAGCAGCAATTTACAGTATAGGACAGGTTATACCAAATTTAATGAGAAACTTTTCGCCCAGCAATGGAATTGTGGGATTTGTAGTTTACGCAAAGTGACGTAGAATAAGTTGGCGTCTAAAAAGAACTACATATCCCAACAAGAACTGACGCGAGCTGAAGCATCAACTTTGAAACCATGGAGACGGTTGTTACCATAGATATGTAACTTATATCCTCCTGACTACCAGCTATGGAGTTTTGTCCACTGTAGAGGACATTATGTTTGAGCGATTTCTCTGAGACGTTACATGTCACAGTTTTAAATCTGGATGTCCGAGATACCAAATGATTGGATGTTTCACCATGACCACTCCCTCTCTTTGGTCTTTAAAAATGGCTGACATTCATTTAGTGATCAAATGTATGATAATATTTTGTAATTATCATTTCAATCTGACTAATTGACAAATTGTTTGTCATAAATCAACATCTCCGGAAAATGTTATGGGGTTTCAAATCAAAATATGACCTTCTGTTATGAAACAGGACATCAATTTCATACATGTCCACTTTAGAGGACACCAGGACTTAAAGCATGTCTATTACAAATTTTGGGAGACACAACAAATGAATAGAGAAAAAATTATATATCAATATTCCTATTAAATATTAGATATTATTATAATCTTGCTAATTATTACTCCCATTATTGCACTTATTTGTTCATTCTATGTTGCCCCAAAAACACATTAATATGCAAATTAGATACAGTTTATAGATACATTGTATATAATGGAAAAACTCGTTTATGGCCATTTTACACACATTTTGCATAAAGAAAAAATGTTTTTTAAAAATATCTTTCATAACATAGTTGAGAATCATCTTTATATAAAGTTTGGTATAAAAAAATGAAAATTGATTTCTGGTTAAAACAAAAATCCCACTCTTTTTGCCTTTTCATGTCTATTCATGTCTTTTTATTTTTTTTTAAACAGGACTTTTTAAAGTCCCGATGTCCTCTATAGAGGACATGGCATAACATATGAATAAAATATAATTTTTCAAAAATGTTGTTTTTCAAAATTTTTCCTATGCTCTAAACCACGGCTGTCCAAACTCGGTCCTGGAGGGCCGGTGTCCTGCAGAGTTTAGCTCCAACTTGCCTCAACACACCTGACTGGAAGTTCCTATGCCTAGTAAGAGCTTGATTAGCTGTTTCAGGTGTGTTTAATTAGGGTTGGAGCTAAACTCTGCAGGACACTGGCCCTCCAGGACCGAGTTTGGACAGCCCTGCTCTAAACAATGTAATGACTTGACAAAATACTAAATTCACAATTTTTTTCCTGGTAGTCAGGAGGATATCTCTATTATAGATCAGTGGTTGTTACACCTACGATCCTACCGGCTCTTGTGTGGTGATTTATTTCAGATCCTGATAATTGTGTTTATTTAGTCGAGATACTTAAGTGTAACAACTGGTATTGCAATATTTGTTGTTTATCAAGGTGTTCAAATGAAGTAAAATCCCCAGTTCCCAAGCTAAATGTGGCATTAATTATAGTAAAGAGTTTTTGTCTGTTTGGTTTAACTTTAAAATATAGACGTTAAAATGAATTCATGTTTTATAAGTGCTTATTGGCAAACAAAAAGGTGAAATTAAATTTGTTACCAATGAATAAAAATTGCAATGATAATTTATTTGTCAACTTATTGGATATTTGATACCTTTATAGTGTTTACTGTAGTAAAAAAAACAATAATTATTAAGAAAGTAGGTGATTTTAAAATGAGTTGTTTTTAGAGAGAAAGGCCTAAATGTTCTTTTTAAACTTTTTATTTTGCATACAAAAAGCCCACTGACAGAAGTAAGGTAGAAATGTCCTGGGGCAGTCACCCCAAAGGATGATTAAAATGTTTTTTATTTTTGATTATACATACAATCATATTAATATATGCACAAACACAATATAAATATGAAATACTTACAAATATTCAATTAAACACTACATAAATGCTTTCAGCCACCTGGTCCCGGCAGCTGGTCTCTGATTTTATGCCAAATAAAATAATTATGTAACTTTCAGATTTAATGAGCGATTCTTAGAGAAAATCTAAAGACACATTGCTTCTACCATTTCAATATGAGGGAGGGGGTTTATGAATTGAATATATATAAATTATCTTTATTTATTATTGCATTATGAACTATAGCTAAAATTCAATAAGTTTTAATATTTAGTTAACTGTAGTAACCTTGATCTGAATGCACCCTGGTGTACAAGTTATTTTTCGGTAAGCACATAATACAATAAACCATCTACAAAAGAAAACCTTACTTAAATAATTGCATTAAACAACAACAAATACCGGTAATGCAGCCATATGTAGCCTATATAAAAATCCAATACACAGCTCTGCGCTCAGTGCGCTGTAGAAACGTTATGACGTCGTAAATGTGAGACCCGAGTCAAAGTGCTACGAACTATTTCTGCGACCTGAAGTTACCACATGTCCTACTTTCTGAGGCAGCTAAGATTGAGAAGATTTATTATCGAATATGGCTTTTTTTTTTAATTCACTGCTAACAAGTTTTCGCGGCGTACTGTTCTCGTTGTGTAGTAAACTTTGCTTTCCGATATAAAGTAGGTAAATTCAGGTTGGTAAACTATGTCTTGTATTTCATTCATAAGTGCATGTGTGCATCTCAAACACTATTTCCCTCTGGAAAATGAGAGAATAAAGAGGTTGAATGTTGTTTTTGCAGGTGACGAGCTGTCATTTCCTCTAGATCTGAGAAACATTCACATTAGGAGGCTACAGCTCCACAAGTGGGATGAAACTGGAACTGTCTCGAGTGGTACAGGGATGTCGCCTGGGACTTTTGACTGGACTGGGAAAATCAGGGCAGCATTCACTGGAGGTGCCTGGCTGTCTCCTGTACACTCGCTGTGCAACTGTTCCTCATCTGACCCAGGACACTTTACACACTTTGAGAGACCTGCCATCAGTCACTCAGGTGTCAGTGGATAGCCTGTAAGAATATTATTATACTTATATATTAAAGGGGTCATATGATGCTTTTTTAAAGATCATTATTTTGTGTATTTGGTGTAACAGAATATGTTGACATGCTTTAATGTTCAAAAAACACATTATTTTTCAAATACTGTACATAAAGGAAAACTTGAAATCGCATCATATGACCCCTTTAAATTATAAATTCAGTTTATACATTCAGTTAATATTTGGCCAACAGTGTTTCTAACCAAACATGTGGGTCTGTAAAATGGCATAACTTGCTGACAGATCTCAGTTCACAAAATTTGATGGTGTGTCAGTTTTCACAGCATTCACAGTATATAGAAGTCTATAAGAGTAGTAATTTATTAGATTTTTGTCTTGTCATCTGTAAAGTGACTTTGAGGTCCTGATAGGCGTTTTATACATACCGATCAAATGTTTGGAACAGTAATCTTTTTTTGTTGTTTTTTATGCTGTTGAAAGAAGTGTCTAATGCTCACTAAGGTTGCATCTACTTTGTCCAAAAATAGAGTAAAAGCAGTATTATTATGAAATATCATTACAATTTAAAATAGCTGTTTTTTTTAATTTATTTTGTTTATAAAAAAGGTTCCTGTGATGCAAAGCTGAATTTTCAGTAACATTACACCAGTCTTCAGTGTCACATGATCCTTCAGAAATTAGTCTAATATGCTGATTTGCTGCTCAAGATGCATTTCATACTATTATTCATGTTGGAAACAGCTTTTACTGTTTAATAATATTCAAAAGTTTGGGGTATGATTTTTTTTTTTGTTGAAAGAATTTATTTTTTTTTTCAAAGAAAGGGGTGCATTGAATTGATCAGAAGTGAAAGTAAAGACAGAGATGTTATGTTGCAAAAGATTTTTATTTCAAATAAATACTGTTCTTTTGAACTTTCATGTGACACTGAAAACTGGAGTAATGGCTGTTGAAAACTGAGTTTGCATCACAGGAAAACAATTACGTTTTAAAATATATTAAAATAGAAAAGAGTTATTTAAAATAGTAATAATATTTCAAAAACATTTCTGTTTTTACTGTATTTTTGATCAAATAAATGCAGCCTTGATACTTCTTTTAAAAACATAAAAAAACCTCTTGACCAGTAGTGGAAATAAAAAATAAAATTATTAAAGTATTATTAGGGATGAATCTCGCATTAATTTCTGCAAAAAAAAAATCCATGTTGGAAAAGGTTTGATTTATTTTTAATCATTTATTTGATACATCTGTTTTTTAGCACTCTTTCTTTTTCAGTGCAGAGCATCATGAGGTTCTGAAGGAATTCAAAGAGGGTGTCAGAAAGTTTGCAGGTTAGCATTTCACTCTTTTACTAACTTTTAGTTATTTGCTTTCTTGGTTAAAAATGTCTTCAGACATTTGTTCTTGCAGATTGCTGTTCTAAATTAAAGGATTTGGACGATGACTGGTGCTCTTTTATGTTAATGACATTAATTAGGAGTAGTTTACAAGGCAGAGAGCTGAAACCATTCAGTTACGCGCAAGTTCAAGATCATTTGCGATTCATAGATTTCACATCTGAAAGAGAGGCATATGTGTGTTTTCTGTGCGTACGTTCATTCTATGAATCACTAGACCATATTTGAGAGATGATCGTAAAAGATTACATTTAGGATGGTTTCTGCGCAACATTTTATAAATGAGGCCCCAAGATGTCTGTTCCCATGCATGCCTTTTTCTCTGTTTTCTCCAATCATATAGCACACTGGTTTAAAAAAAGAGTTTCTACTGCATAGACAGCCAAATTTTGTTAAAATCCAATCTTGCCAGTGGTGAATCACCATTTTAATGAAAAGTTTGGAGCTTTTGTGGCACCATCAGCTAGTCTCACTGTTGTCATTTCCTGCGGTTCTAACATAAGTAGTCACGTGGCATTTACAGCTCAGGTGATTGACGCAAAAAGTTTTGTGGTCCTCAGCCAAATGTGGCAGACTTAAATCAATTAATTCAAGTCCAGCAACTGCTATTGAGATGAATAGAAATGCTAACAGATTCTACTCAAAAAAACATACTGTCACTGGTAGTTTGTTCAAGATCATTGGAAAGTCAGTCCTTGAAAAGATCATCTTTGTTGCTTTTCTGCTATTTTCAAAAGCATTGTAAGTCATTTCTATCCAGCAGTGTGGGTGTAAACATTTTCTCAGTTGGCTAATAGATCTAGAAGCAGTTCACACAGTTTGAAAATTCACACATCAAGTGGATTCTGGTTCTGAGACTGTGGAAGGTTCTGGAGCTGAGACTGTGGAAGAAAGTATTACACTTTTGAAGATGATCCCAATTTTAAAATAAATGTAATTGTCTATAGGCTGATCCTGCACAAGTTTTGAGACTTGAAGGACTTGATCAAATTATCTCTCTTTTGCTTGCAGTACTAGAATTTTTGAATAGTTAAACTGTTCTTGAAGGTGACAGCAAAACTTCAAAAATAAATAAACTTGAAACTTGAAATTTTTAGTTCTGAAGGCATGTTTTCAGATTCTCTCCCTCCCTCGCTGACTATTAAGTGACTGTTTAGAAATAATTAGGCATTCATGCTTGGATGCATACCACAGATGCATTTTCTTAAAATGAGTTTTCAGTTTTCATTTTGCAACCGTAATGAAAAGAAGGGCACTGTTTCAGTCGTTGCCTTCAGCAATCCAACCAGAAATGAGAAAGGTAATTGCATTCACGATATTAAGATGTGTGACCGTGAAGACATTTGAAAGGGTGACTTGAGGCAGCTGCTAGCTCTCCATTTGGATAATTACAAAAAGAAAATTATTGTACATGATAATGTTGGTCACTGAAGTTCACCTCCGTCATTTCCATACAATACCGCCAAATTTAGATTCCTCTTCATGTTCATATCATACATGTTCACGTTTGTCTAATCTACAGTTGGGAATTAGTTAGTACAAGCTATTCAAATGTACACTTTCGCCATCGACGACACTCATCAGTGCCCCAATTTGTCCTAATCTCCATATAAATGCATTTTTATATCTTCAGAATAATGAGTTGAGCTCTTGGTTGTTTATTTCGCCAGTAAACAGTTTTGTAATAAAGAACAAGTGTTCTGCCTGATTGCATTGAACTGTTCTTATGCATTCTATTGCTGTTGAGGATTTAGTAAATGGATGAATAATACAAGTGTATTTTGCAGTTTGTTATATGTTGTGTTTGCACTATTTATAATTTTAAAATTTCAAGTCATTGAAACTGGTGTTAAAAAGTTTTAAATTTGTATGCAAGACGTCTGTTTTGATTAGAAGTAGCTTCTTGAGTTGTAGACAGTAGATGTCTGATAAGCTATTTCTCTGACGTGTGCTGATGGTTTCCTACGCAGGTCTTCATGATACTGTGCTTTTCTGCTCTCTGCATGATTCTGCGAACTCCAGCCCCGCCGGTCACGTCACCAACAAGGTTAGAGAACTGTGTCGAATGGTTGTTTTCAGCCTCTTTTGTCACTGAGACTGACTCAGATTCCATTAAATCATTACAAATAGTCAATTTAGTAAAATCTCATTGGTTTTCAACTGATGCGGTTTGGCTTACAGAGAGCTTTTGTGTCCTTTGAAGCTATGCCATCCCTTTACTGTTAATTGTGAGGGATTTAATGGTTGTGTGTGATTTAACAGACAGTGTCGGTGTGGGGCAGCGGTGGAAGGATAGAGCTGACAGTGGCTCGGTTCATGGCAATTCAGGCAGCTATCCAGCCGGACTGCTATCAGAGCATGGCAGACGGAGAGACCTGGCAGGCCGGTACCTCTCGCAAGAGAGTCCGTAAAGCAGTGGACAGGACTCTGGCCCATCTGGATGAATGTCTGGCGTTGCACCAGAAAACTCAGGTTACTACACAAAAACACATACTCAGTACTGGAATACTTGTTAGTGACTGCAGGATACATTTCCCTTAAAAATGACAAATGGTCATATTTTATACTGTTCAGGGCTCGACTGCCAGGAAAAACAGCAGAATAAAGACTTTATACAAAAAGATTCTTCTAAACAATCTCTTTTTTTTTTTTTTTAAGATTTTTCTAAACTGAATCTGTCTTTATTTTAGATTCTGAGATTTTATGACAAACTTAGATTTTAACATAGGAGAGTGGGGTGTTGAGACAGTTTTTACTTACAGTGTGTTTAAAGTGAACACATAAGTTATAACAGTAGCTATGTTTCTGTCACCCTGTTTTAGTGCGCATTTTGAAGTATCGCATCAGAAACGAGTGATGGAAACACCAAATTCCGAAAAAAAAAAACTAAACTTAATTTGCAAAAAAAAACGTTTTTACACTCAATTGAGTTGGTTTTTGTCTTGTGTGAGAAAGGGTTAATGCAAATAATGGGAGATGGAAACAGATTTGCTGAATAAATTCCTCCATGCGCATCAAAAAAAAAAAAGTCATGTGACTTTGCACAATGGGACGGCATAACCTGACTAACCAGTGGACTGATCTCATTGCACAGCATCTCTTTCTGCCCGAGCAAAGTCTGACTTGACTGGGTTCCCGAACAGCAGGCTTCCGCATTCGTTATGTTTCGTCTGCTCGCACAAGTCAGTTATTATATATGAAAATTATTACATTCAGTGGCTTCTCCCACTTTTCTTTGTGATATTTAGTGCCAGTTTATCAGGAAGTGACAATTTTGTTCTCTTTGACACGTCAGATGGAAACAGTGCTTATTCGCAAATTCAGTTAAATTCAAGTTCATTCACAACTTCGTTGCAAAGCAGCCTTACAGAAAATTTGAAGTTTCTACATTATATTTAAGAGTGGGTTATTAGTGGTGCCTATGGCAGAAATGTACAGTAAGAATCATGCAGTTAGTTACAAATTACACATAATCAAACAGACAGTGAACACTATTAACTGCAATTATCGTTAATAGTATTTAACTTTTAGCAATTGACTAAAATTAACTAACGTTTAGTAATTAACGTGACGCAGCCCGGCTCCTCAAAGGGAAGCGTAAAAGTGATCACATCACACCGGTTCTGATTTCGCTTCATTGGTTACCAGTCAAATACAGAATTGATTTCAAAATGTTGTTATTTGTTTTTAAGTCTTTGCGGAACCAGGCACCACAGTACCTATCTGAACTACTGCATCCGCTTTCTCAGTCTAGATCACTTAGATCTAGGGACTCTAATTACCATATGTTCCTAGAACCAGACTTAAAAACAGGGGTGATCGCTCATTTGTGGTCATCGGTCCTAAGTTATGGAATAGCCTTCCAGCCTACATCAGATCCGCCCAAACCTTGTCAACTTTTAAATCCGCCCGGAAAACGTAGCTTTTTTCCGTGGCTTTCAATATCCCTTGACTCTCATATTGGCATTAATATCTTTTGACTCTAGCTTTTCTCCTCTATTTTATATATATATTTTTATTTTAGGCTTTTATTTATTTTTATCTTTTATTGTTTCTCTAGTGCTTAAATGCTTTGTGTCATTATTGTCTGTTTCTTTTAGCCTTGTAAAGCACTTTGGTCAACACTAGTTGTTTTTAAATGTGCTATACAAATAAACTTGTATTGTATTATTATTTGTTGCGATTAAATGTTGCGATTAAGCAAAATGTAGTAGTTTTATATGTTGTTCCAGGGTTAGCATCATCTGAGGTCTTCTAGGGCGTTGGCATCATCTCTTCTCAGGTGTTCGGTCATCTCAGATCTTCGCAAGGGTTAGATCCAGACTGAAGCTTGCGTAATTCCTAGTTGCCTCGGGATGCAAGTCCCGTGGCAGAAACAGAGAAGCAAATCGAGACAAAATTAGCGTAGCTGCTGTTGCAACCAAGCAAAGATGATGTGTTCAAACCAAACAAAAGAATGAAAATGTGCATTTGATCAGGTATAGCTGAAGTACAAAGTTAGGAGATACATTGTGTGAATGCTTGGCTAAAAAGATCTTTAATCTAGATTTAAACCGAGAGAGTGTGTATGAACCCCGAACGTTATCAGAAAGGTTATTCCAGAGTTTGGGAGCCAAATGCAAAAAAAACTCTACCTCCTTTAGTGGAAAAATATATAAATAATATAAAAAATTATTTAAAAAATAAATCTTTCAAGTAAAATATGCAAATATATCCTCTGGTGCTCTTCAGTCACTCTTGACCGAAAGATTTTCTGTTTTGAATTTTTAAAAATCACAGCTTCATCGGAATTGTACGAAACTTGGTGACATTTATGGCATTTGGAATGTGAACACAAAAAAATTGAGGGCTTGATTCGAGCAGGCTAAGTGGTGGTAAAAAAAATAGTCACACTTGTGATCTTCGGTCAAAAATGACAGACCATAAATGAAATGGGAAATGAATGGGAAATCGACAAAAACAGATTGTACAATCTACAAATCTGACACAATGCAGAAAAATGTACACAGCAATGACAGGGTGAAACTCTAAAACATCAACAGTGCAAAACCAACACATCCACTCTCACACACACACACATACACACGCGCGTACACACACACACTTATGAACTGGTGTGACTGTAACACAGCAAATATGTAAAATAAAAGCAATAATTCAGCTACAATGCAGTAAAAAAGTGGACAGCAAGAAAGAGGTTACACTCGAACACAGTCACAGTCACACACACAAACATACACAATTATACACACTCAAATTAATTGGTATGGCTATAACCATATAAACAAAACAAGTCAGAAAACTGAAATAAGAGGTTGAAATCAGATCAGACCCAGAAGGATTAAGCGCTGATAAAACATTTCTGTTAATTTTTGTTTTTTGTAACAAAATGCTTTCTCTGTGTTCAGGTTTGACTGTAGTATAATAATTCAAAAACTGACGCTTCAAATCAATATTTCAAACCAAAAAAAAATCTAAACCTTAAAAAAAAAATTGTCTTTGAGAATGTCTAAATATATATCCAAACCCTCAATTTAATAATAAAAAAGTATTTGTCTAAAAACAATTAGAGAATTTATAGGCTTTTTATATAAAGCTATATAGGAATCTATGGGTTAAACCATGGAATTGCAGAGGTTTTTCTTATTTTACTCTCACCAGATGGCACTAATCTGGCTTCAAAAATGGGATTTTAAAGGCATTGACTCTATTTTAACATGAAATTCTGCATTCATTGAAAAGTAATATAAAAATATATATATTTTTAAATTTGTATTTCAATGGGCAGAAATTGATCATAATTATTGCATAAATATTAATTAGTGCCATGAAATTATCAAAATACAAAATAAAAAATATGATTGAACAAAAATATATTACATTGATTTTACTGGAGAGAAAAAAAGTTACATTTTAGGTGTCCGGTCACTTTTGACCGTGAAGATCACAAGTGTGACTCCCAAATAAGGAGCACCAAAGGGTTAAATAAATAAATATAAATGTACTGTTTTTTACAGGAATTAAAACAGGCCGAGATATTTGGAGTTGTGGAGGGTGGAGACATTTTGGAGGAGAGGCTCCGGTCGGCACGAGAGACTGCCAAGCGTCCTGTGGGCGGATTTGTCCTGGATGGATTTCATTCTGCTGCCATGGACCAGGATGTGAGGGTTCAGTTGATTAAAGCGACATCTGCAGAGCTTCCCCAAGAAAAACCCAGGTAAAAAAGGCATCTATTTAAATTTCTGCCTCTCAGGCTCAGACGTTTCTTCAGTCGGAGATTGAGTGGCTAGATCTTCCCAAACTTATTACTCTCTGATTATGCACCTCGATTTTCAGCAGCCATAGCAACACTCCATTCCACCAGCAGCCCATAGCAACCACCTCATCCCTTCCAGGGAACTGGAAGTGCTGGGGTTAGAAAGGTTTCAGGAACAGACTTCATCTTGAGTTCCTTGTGGTGTAATGATTGATTTCTCTGATCTCCCTCTCTTTGAGGTTGACTAGGAGGTTACAGAATCACACAGAGACAATGGCAAGAAGTAAAGCAGTGTGGATTTAGAAGCGTCCTTGTGGCACAGCGGGGTCTTAAGAGTGACGCTTCCCACTGGGCTTTATAGTCTTGTTAGAAACCGACATTTCCCTTGGGTGTATCTCAGGTCACAAATAACTGGAGCTGGAGAAGGTTGTGAGGCAGACGGGCTGAAGGACAGGATACATAATTTAGGTTTAGAGCAGGACAAGATGTTTCTGTGCTGCAGTATTTATGCTTTTATTACACTATGTATTTTCACACTGTTATGTTTTGTTCAAAAGTTTTGAAAAAACTTTTTTTCAGCAATGATGCATTAAATTCATCGAAAGTGACAGTCTAGGGATGTTCATTTTAACCGGTTAACCGTTAACCGACCGTAAGAATTTTGACCGATTAATACAATCAGTTAAACGGTTTAAAAAGTCATTTATTTATTTATTTTTTAGTAATTTATCAAAATATTTAAAAAGGTTTGCTGCATGGTTAAAAACTCCTTTTAGTCATAAAGATAATCGGAATTGTAAAAGATTTGCCTTTATTTGTGTACATTCACAATAAAAACAAATCTTTGTGCTTTTGTAAAATAAGCCTAAAGAAAAATAGGATGCAGCTTTCTGCCATCTGGTTTCCTTTCGCGCAGCACAAAAATGAACCGAAACTCTGCTTACTAGCTACTTGTTGCACCGTTTTTCTTTCATTTTCTTAATTTATTATTTAAGTAAAAATATATTTCTCATATAGGCCTATTTATTCGTTATATATACAGGTGCATCTCAATAAATTAGAATGTCGTGGAAAAGTTCATTGTGAATCCTCATGTTCTGTTGTTTGCTGCTTTTTGCGCATGTAATATTAATCCACGGGAAACAAATGTTAGTATTTTTAACGGGTCACAGACACTTATCCTTTCTAATTTAATTCAATTCTAATTTAAAATAATCTTGTCGGTTAACTGTTAATAATCGGTTAACGAGCATCGGTTGTCGGTTAGGAAAAATAAACGAAGTGACACTAAAAATGTTTAGAATCTTATAAAAGATTTCTGTTTCAAATAAATGCTGTTATTTTGAACTTTCTATTCATCAAAGAATAATGGTTTCCACAAAAATATTAAACAGGACAACTGTTATCAACATTGATGATAAGAAATATTTCTTGAGCAGCAAATCAGCATATTAAAATGATTTCCGAAGGATCATGTAACACTGAAGACTGGAGTAATGAAAATTCAGCTTTGCATCGCAACACAGGAACAAATGATACCTTAAAATGTATTAGAAAAGAAAAATTATTTTAAATTAATAACTATTTCACAATATTACATTAAATTAGCCTAGTTGAACATGAGACCTCTTTAAAAAACATGAAGTACCACCCCCCAACATATGAATGTGTGTGCGTGTGTGTCTGTTTGTACATGTCAGAATGTGCTAGTGCTCCTCATTTTGCTTTGTGCAACTATCCAAACTTCTAACCTTAAAGGGGTCATATGATGCGATTTCAAGTTTTCCTTTCTCTTTGGAGTGTTACAAGCTGA